TGACATTTTTTAATCATTGGTAGAATGGCTTGGGAAACCACCGATCGGAAGATTTTACTCCTTGCCACGAAATAGATAGATATCTTCTCTGACATTTGTAATCAAACTGGTATGATCTAGACTTTTGAAAAATTGCTTCGTCAAATACAATTTCGTAAAAGATTTTATAGCATCGTATAACGATCACGCAAAATGGTCGGTTTCTGTTTTGATATACACGGTTACGTGGGGCAAAAATTATGCGATGGCCCGTGTCGGAAGCATATACTCGGAGGGATTGTCAGAGAAAAAGGTGGGCAAAGAGGCGCGGTAATTATTATCATTGGAATTTATGGCGACACCCGGATTACCCTTTCTCCATGTCCAGTGCCGTGGAACTGCAAGAAACTATTATTACCCTGACTCGTGTTTCTTGTTTTGCCGTTCCTCTATCCCGAAGGACCGCGTTCTGGTGAAGTCATAAATCAACCCTCCCAGCCCTGACTACACCCCATCCACGATGTCCAAGAAACATTTCGTCTCGATAGGAAAAAGGAATCGAACGATACACGTGCATCGATGGTAAGAAAATCGAAACGGATTCGTGGCCGTCCCCTGTGATTCCAGTTGATAAGACTTCGGAGCCAGTCACTCGATGGAATCAGAGTTCCCTTAATTACAATTTAATTGAAAGTACGGGCAAGATACGTCGGCCACGTATTGGCCTCCGAGCTCTGCCTGTTCTCATAATCGAATAAACAATTTATTGCTGACAGGTTGATTAATGGGTATGACGACACAATGTAAAACTACTAATTTAGTAGACATTTGATGGGGATTGTTGAGGAATTAAATTTACTATCTTGACGTCCAATGTTTAAAAAGTATCTACATACTTCAGAGGGTGGATCCTGCATATTGAAATACGTAAAAAATATTATATCAATTTCTTTTAAATTGTAAAGACGATCGTTGCAAGAGTGATATTTGTTTCTCAAAATAGTTCACAAATTTCTATTGAGGTTCTAAGATATTTCGTTTTAAAAGTAACGTAAAATTCTATTTTAATTTGATGAGGATATTTCCTACAAAAGCGTTATACTATAGCCGATAGCTTTTATCGATGAAAGTACTTTGACCGTCCTCTTGACATTAATATGTAGTACGTGATAGGGGCTTCACCCTTTAGACTGAAACATCTATTGCGACGGGAGTACGCATTATTAGCCAGGATTAACATCAGGTTTCTGTATAGCAGCTGATAAGGGATATTCGAGAGGATTCGCCGAATACAAAGCGAATGTATAACGAACGCTTACATCAAAGAGATTTTTGTCATTAGAGGAAAAGGCAACGATACCTTTGAACGAGTAGGATGAATAAAAAATGCCACCCGATGCACACACTTAAGTAGAATGTACTAACAGATATCAAGAGATAGACAAAAAGCTTCAGCTTGTCTTCCTTAAATGCTCCCTTTAAAAAAAAATATTAACATTCATTGCCTGTCTCCTGTATATTGTTAAAAAACGTTTGTATTGATTCACGTATTCCGAAGAATCGAACTATTATAATTTAATTTTTGTAGACACAATTTTTAAATAATGTGGAGTTAAAAATATTGTGAGAGTTTTATCGATTGCATGTAATTATATACCTAGAACCTTTTGCTGCACGGTTTGAAACATCTTCATAATTTATTTAATAATATTCTTATCCCATAATAGTTTACAGAGATGGGGGTGATCAACCCTGTATTATATTCTTTGAAGAATTTATCGATTCAACAAAGCCATATTTGTATTCTAAAGGTATAATATTACGCGTTGAAACAAACGCGTAGAATGTAATGGACGTCATTTTGGTCAAGTGAATACATTCGATCCGAAATTACGCTACTTGTAGCAAGGGCCGAAATTAATATCCGGACAACCTAATAATTATCAGTTTACACTCGCGCCGCGTGCGTTCTCGGTGTATGCGCGCGAAATTTTCTTTTCGCGTAACGGCGTTAGGCGAACGAAATACACGGCCGCGGCTTTGAAATGTGCCGATTGTAACTGACGAGGGCTTTTGTGGTAGAAAAAGGAACAAAAGAACCGGCCGCGAGAGTAAATTCACCTCGTTACGCACGAATGGCCCCGTAACTTCATCGCGTACCTTCTTGCAACGCGGTATCAGACTCGTATCTGTGTAGCACGGTAACCAGATATTGCGGAGAATTAATTGCATACGCTTTCGACCGGTATCTCCTGTAATACGGACGACTTTAATTAGCGATCTCCTCCTCGTGCAGTTCTTTTCGAGATAGTAAATCACGTTGCTTCTTGTCTTACACGTAATAAGAAAATTTCACAATAATGCGCGGCTATCGGTGGTCAGGTATCGTTCGAACGTATCGCAAAGAGGTAAGTACCGTGCTGTACAACGTATCCTACACACCGCAATTATTCTTCCACTTTCTGCTCCTCTCGTACCGTTAAAGAAGCTGCGGTAAGTAAATATCAAGGCCTCTCCGAACCTCGGATACTATGTATATCGAATTTCAAACAGTATTTGTGCGAACTTCGTGCGTTCGGTGTTTCATAAATTTATCGAAGGCTATTTTTTAAACCAATATTCGGATCAAAGCCCCGGGGCAAGCGCTAGTTTATCTATAATTGAAGATTCTACGATACGAAAGAAACCCAATCTCGATCGAGACTCGTGCCGCGGCGAAGATCACACGTCTTTAGAAACTAGCCGCGGCTACTTGGTCGTGCCTTTTGACGTGGCACGCGACGCCGCGCATTTCTGCGGAAACTGGCAGCGGCACGTGCCTCAAAGAGTTTAAATATAGGTAGCGGCACAGTGGGCCAGAAAGAGATAGAGCCAAAAAAGAAGAAGAACGGTCGGTGTTAAAGCAGCTCGACGCGATCGGTATTTGATGAACGACGAGTATTCGTCTCTTTCCAAGCTATTTGACAAATTGTTTGTCGAATGACGAGCACACACAGACCGTAACCAAAGCATTTGCTTGTTCGAAGTAAAACGACTACATTAAAAATTTGCATTTTTTCTCAGTTTTGTAAATATGAAAAATGGATACAGTACTTTTGCAATGTTCAAAGAGTCTGTATTTCTTATAGGAGTATACCTAACTCCGTTCAACATGTAAGATGGAAACTTGAATTTTGTAATATTAATTTACATAATACAGAAACGTACAAAATACAAATTATTCGGTACAAAAATAAATTTCACAATATCAGAGTACAGTCAGAGCTTTTCATCTTATTGATTTGCCATCAGGATTGCACAGCAATTACACGATAATCACCGACTAATTACAATTTAATTACAGTGCAATTACTTTGTAGAAGTAATCGCGGCAAATCTAATCAGATTATATTTAACCCATCGGTGAACTACATATTGTCGCGTACAGCATTTAGCTCGTTACTTTGCCGCATCACGCAATTTATTAATAACTTATTGCAGTCTCACAGATACGATGGCTCTTTGCATGAAGGGAATACGTTGCGGTTGCCTAATGCGAGTGACTGCTTCGTACGTAGAGGCAATATCGACGGACAATCACTATAGCGATCGCTCGTAGTTAAGAAGTTAAAAGTAGAATAAGTAGCGATCACGAGCAAAGATCGAGCATTGCGTGACCCGTACGATAAGCGAAGTGAATGAAATACACCAGCAGCTTTACTGGGATATGGATCAATTGTTTCGTACTCCAGGTCATAAGTGTCATACATCCCTGATCGAAGAAGTTCGACATAGATTCCTTAGAATGTCATTTACTAGTCACGACTACGGTCCTATTATACAGCACGTTAGGCTAATGACCCTCAAACAATGCCGAACACTAGCTTTTGCATTTGTAAACAATGTTGTGGAAAGAATCGTCCTCTCGTAAAACAAACAATATCTACATTCGACACTTTTCCTTACTGGCAATGCCAACACAGACATTTCGAAATGTATCAAACTCATTGTTGGGCTACAGCCAATTTCGCTTTGCTACGTGTCCTGGACTATAGACGTACAATTATAGTATTTTACCACTGTCAAAGACATTTTAAAACCCATTTTAAGTCATCATACCGTTATGACGAGCAACCGTACGTAGGTGTCGTGGCACGGATCATGAACGATGAGCTTATTCGCGATTTGTGTGCCTCTGCTCGCGCGGCAAATTAATGCCACAAGAGCTAGTTAAATTAGTGGAATTTGAGGGCGCGATAGAAAGTGATATTTGCTCGTCGCGACAGAACTAAATATATTTAACCCTGGAGAGACCAAAGAGACATATCGAACCCACCAATAAAAAATTCTTAAAAATCTGCTACTTTCTGGAATTAAATCATTTTCTAAATAATAATATCCACTACAGCCCGATTTAATATAAAATTAATTAACAAGACGAACAAACAAATTTTTTAAACGATCCCATTTACCAGCCGAGGGTTAACACGATTGTTTTAGAACGTTCGATGCTTTCGAAATAATTTTTAGAGTAAATCTGTTTTCGTAGAATCTGTTTACAGCTGCAGGACATTGGAAAGTGGATCGGTTCTAAAAATATTAAATTTAATTAACGAATCGTTCGCGAGAGAATAAGGTTGCCGACCTGAAAGGCAAGGGTAATTAGCACCCTTTTCCTACGTGCAATCTTTTTGCGCGATACCGTTGCCTAGGACGTGCTAGCGCATCATCGACGATACAAAAGTGCCAGCGATGCGGCAAAATTTAAACACTGCAAGTGACTCCTCCATGTGATCCTCAATTGATCGATACCGAGTGCCCTTATTACGTTGCCTGTCCTTAATTCGTAGTTACGCCACTGCGGCGTGCATCTACCTGTAAGGAAGAGTTTTCAGTATGACGGGGGTCCTTCGATTATCCGGGCCGAAGGAATTGAAAGAGCAAAGGTTGTTCTCCAGCAGTCGACAAAATGTCGTCGGCGATATTGGCAAACCGACTGACGCATGCGTCGCCGCCCGAAGACTCGTCGTCATTTTGGAATCTTGTCAACAAATACCTCACTGCGTCCTTAACCCGTTAGCTGTGCAAGGTGTCCGTGCAACTGTGCCCTACTCCTCTTCAGTCTGCAACCGGAAGTGGTCTGGCGTGTTACCCACGAACGGCAACAACTCTTGCGATTTACCGGCGTGTCGCGTTCCGTTGAAAAACACGCGTGCTTCCGTACTAACCACGAAACAAAGGTATGGATATTACCTTGGGAATGTTTTGAAATTCGGTGCATCGAGAGTAGTGCGTTCGTTTCGTGTTACGTTAAAAATTAACGCGCATGTGATCCGTTTTCGACGTTGCACGCGATCTTAACGGTACCTGGAAAAGCGTGCTCGTAAATCTGTCCGAGGATATTGATAAATTCAAGATAGTTAAAAGGAACGTTCAAATACACGTGCTGCGCCATGGAGGAGGAAATAGAATCCGGAACCGTCTCGCCAATCATCGCGACGCTTTCCAAAAGGTACGGATAACGTAATTTTCGAGGTTTTTAAAAATAATTTCTATTTGTCTGCGACTAGCATTGGTTTCCAACGCATCGACATCGTTTTCGACCATCCTCAACAGGTATATTACAGCGGGCATCAAGTTTCAGGTAATGTTCACTTGGACGTCGAGGAACCTGTGCAAGCTCTAGGTAAGTTTCTATATTAATTATTTCTTTACGACGAACGAATGTTTTGAAGCACACTTTGTCTACAGTGTCGAGGGGAATTGGGCTACACGAAGGGGAATCAAAGTTTCGTTAAGCTTATCAGGTAGCTGAAAACAGATCACTGCAGATATCCCCGTCGAAGGCGCATCGTAATTAATCCGCGACCACGGTTCATAATTAATTCATTACAACTTTTAGAGTGTCCGAGAAAATATTAGTCATTTTTGCTTCCTGTCATTTTTTTAAATCAAGTATCGAAAACAAAACTATAATTCGCCTAGTGGCTAGTCCAGAATGTAGGTTACCTTCTCGTACAATGGCGCACTTTTTGAACGCGTTGCAACAGACTATAGATCATGCTCGAAATTATGTCTTGTTCTAGTTATCAGTTGGATAATTGAAGTTTTGAATTACGTAATATTTTCCGGGATACTGTAATTATCCGAGGTTCGTTAATATCCGGAAAGGGATGCATGCGTTCGAGTTGGTGGAGTGCGGATGTCCGATTCGGATCGCCAAAAACCGACGAATTCGGGCGGTTCCCGACACATCTCGGGCCGAGTGCTTCCGAAGCAATTCGGTTGCTCGAGATACATAGGTATATCGGGTTCCGCCCGAGTTTGCTGTTTTCCTGACCACCCACCCGAGCTTCAGGCTACCTGCACACCCCTAATTCGACTGCATCCGCTGTCTCTTCAATCTCAGTCGTCCTAGGGGTGGCCGAAATTTGTCCCTGAACGCGGATCGTTCGATTTATCGCTTGCCCTTAACGATAGATCAAGAAGATTACGTGGCAGGGTGGTCTTGAAAATATTACGCACTTTTACGTGCAAAAATAAGTCGAACCGAAAGGACAATATTTTTTAGTTCGAGGCACTGTTTTCGGGATAATTTAATTTTAAAATTTCTCAGATACACATGGAACCTATTGTAAGCACAGTTTATCCAGCGCGTCTGACCATTAACCACTTTTTCTACTTATCTACTGAATTCAGAGTTGAGCAAATTTTATACGCGAACAATGAATACATATTTCAGATTGGCTCGTACAGTAACTTCTATGTACGTTACGAAATGAGCAAAATTGTGGTTTTTATTCGAGAGTAACATTTATTCTGCAGTGCATGTATACCTAATGAATTTTTAAAATCGATTTTCTAGTAAACAAAGCCACGAATGGAAAACCGTTATTCTACTTTTTCGACCATGTTTTTGTGGTTTTACGCAATTATTTGAAACGAAATTAACTCGTCTAAAGTTTTCTCCGTTGAACTAACACTATTTCCTGAGCAATGGTGCATTTCTTTTTAGCAGAGGGCGCGATTCAACAATTACAGTACGACGGATAAAATCATAGATCGTTTAACAATGGAGTAAATTACGATCGCGAAGCGCGCGATGTTTTCTGGGCCACTCTAATGTTTAGTTTCAAGGTTCGGTTGATCGTAAAATGAACGCTGTGCCGCGCTATCTCGGTCTCGAGACATATATCGAAACTAATGCCGTTCAATAGACGCGGGAGAACGAAGAGATCGTGCCTTACTGTAACGAGGCACGACCAACTTTATATTTATTCTCGCGATGTTTACCCTTGTTCGCAATCACAAAAATTTCTCTCCCGTTCGGGTCGAACGCGTGCCAACGTGCCATCGATCGCGTTGCATAACGGGTGACCTAAAACTTTACTGCCTCTATACATGTATATGCCACCAGACGATGCGCTACGCGATTCTGGTGCTGCAGGAACGCTTGTAAAGCAGATAGCTAAGGAAAGTGAAAATTACATTCGTAAATATTTCTAGTGCAATCGAGAAAATCCAAATGACTTTGTACGTGCTAGAAAACAATGTTTACTCGCGTCTGCTGTGCTCTTGCGAATGCTATTAAATACCGTAGTATGTACTTTGCTTACCGATCTGCCCGATTCTAATTAATTCTATTTATTCTTGTCTATGCTATTTAGGTAAATGTTCTTTTTAATTAGTAAATGGTATTTAGTCTACACCTACAGTCACGACGAAGAAAGAATCGACTAGAGAGACCTCCAACCGCTCGTCTCCCACTTTGTAGGGTGGGGATACAGTCTAATTAAAACCACTGACCGTTCAAAATCACTCAATCAATCGTAATATTTAGTGAGAATTAATTTTTTTTTAATTTTATTGTATATTTTCGAATTACGCTGCACGTAATTTAGTTAATAAAATTATTCGTTGCAATTCACGAACGAATATCACCCGGACATCCATCGCTACCTGAATTACCCTATATGTACGTGACACATGGCAGTGACCGTGTTAAAACTCGTTTTATTGCAGGTGACACCATAAACTGGGATTCTGGGACAGTGAGCCTTTCATGTCTGATCTTAATCACGTTTCGTTCCGACAATTAGTCGTCCGGACAATATACGTTGATGCGGAAAATTGAGATCCCTCTCTCTTTTACAACTTTCTAGTTCTACACACCCACGAGACCGTAGGAGCAACACTGCATTAACCACCACAGAAAACATGCCAGTCGAAAACGTTTAACATTAACGACAATTTAGATATCAGCAAGTAAACATTAAAAATAAGCCGAAGATCCCACTTATAGTATTCATTTGTTATCGTTTAAGCAAACCTGGTTTGTTATAGTAGGTACATTTCACATTGCATATAAATTAACCATCGAGTCGATTCTTTCTTCAACGGTAGTTACTCAAGTACTTTTGTCATTGTAGTCGTGTATCGTAAATATGTTTAGAAAGACGAAAATACGATAGCATAGAGCCAGTGGTTCTTAACCCTTTTAAGTAGAAAATTCGGATTTAGAGAAACAGAATTTTAATGATAAACTAAATTAAAAAATTTCTCTGGTCAAAACTAGTACAGTGGCCGTTTATTATTAAAAACAGCGTCAAGTTTCTTACCGTAAGCTCGGAAAGATCGAAAATTTTCTTTTAAATCGCGGTTTCTTTAATCTACAGCGAAAGTTTCGTGCCGCGAGGTAGTTAAGAACCACTGGGACAGAGTATTGGTTCTAATTACTTTGTATACACGTTGTAAATGCAACCTTTCTGCATGCAGGAATTAGACTTAAGTACAAGGGAGAGGCTCAGGTGTATTTCACCGATCGATCGGCTGGGATCCGACGTAAGTTTTCAGCGTTCGAGAGTTACCTCCACGTGGAAACTTATCTCGTGGGTGGTAAGTACACAAGCGTCAAGATTGCTACACGATACTCGATGTCGGATTAATCCCGATTCTCGTCACGAGTAGATGGTAAAGAAAAGTCTATGATAACCAACGGCGTCTACCCGTTCAGCCTAACGCTTCCAGAAAACTTGCCGTGCAGCTTCGAGGGCCGATATGGACGAGTACGGTACTCGATTAGGGCATTGTTGGACGTAACGACCAGTTATCGGTTTTCCACCAATATTATTCCATTCACCGTGGCATCCATTCTTGACCTTAATCGAGATCCTCTCGCTCCCGTGAGTAGGAATCTAACAATGAATGATATTTGCTGTTCAACTGATTTAATTCCGAAGAAGCAAATGCGCTATCGAATTAATGCTTGCCCGTTACGCTTCCCTTTCGCGGGTCCAAGCTATCTTCTAAAACAATATGAACAATCGTTTCAGTTGCCCATAAACGTTCAACACACTAAAGCGTACATGGGCCAAATAGAACCTCTCAGTATGTCTATGTCGCTTCCGGTACACGGTTACGTTCCTGGGCAAACTATACCGATGAGAATAGCCTTGACGAATCCTACCACGATCGTGGTTAAGAAAATCAGAATTGTTTTCAAAAAAGTAACACCGTTCCTTTTGTATTACTTACTCTACAGCATGTCGCCCGACGCTATTTCCGGCATGGCCACGAATCGTTTCGTCCGTCTTCTTTGGAAAAATCAAGTAGCACGTTTTGTTCCACGAGTGCGATGGAAAACAAATATTTGGATTTATTAAAATATCGTTTCGTAGGAATATCTATCGACGATGCGTGTTACCAGGGAAACCTTCTGGGTCATGCCGGAGATATAACACATTTCCTTTATTGAATTTCTATTCTTCCATCGCTTGATCTAAATGGCGCATATTTTCTTAGGTGGTGTCTTATCACTCGACGGAAAAGTCGCGTAAGCATAAAGAGATCATAGTAGAAGTAGAACAACCCGTTAATAAAAACTCCGACACGTACGACGTCACGTTTGACGTTCCTGCAGTACCACCCACAGGGATGATCTACTGCAACATCATCGACGTTTATTACACGCTTAAAGTGAGACTGTCTCAAATTTAGTTGCACTCCATTCGATGATAGAGAACATCGATTAAATAGAATCTTAGCTCTTCGGCACCCTGAACTTTTATGGGAAACATTTCCTATTGCTTTACTCGAGTCATAAATTCCAATTTTAGATACAGATGCACTATTATAATTTTTTTTCGTTCAAAATCGTGACGGTTTTGTCGGTTGATTGCACGAGTCTTTTTATCTTTATCGGGCAATTTCAATATAAATTGAATAAGTTGAAGTATCTTTAAGAGAACTTGGAGATTGGAAACCCATCAGTAATAACGAAAAAAATTGTATAGGTTTTATTGAATGGTCAATAGACTTTTGCAATCATTCGATACGACATGTCGAAACGAATCAGGGTGTTAAGCTTGCAGCTTCGAAACAATTGAACGACGAACACTAACACGCACGCGCATTTATGGCCCGTTTACCCACACAAAGTATTCTTCTTATTAAAAGGTCGAAGCTTGCATAGACGTGAGCGAGTGGTACTACAGAATGTTTCAGAAGAACTTGAAACTGCGAACAAATGTAGTAGTCGGCACGGTACCGCTTCAAAATTACGAGAGTCTTCAAAAAACGATCGACGCGACGGAAGCTTTACCGTGTGCGAGGTCCGTCGAAGAATACGACGACGTTGTTGAAAACTTGAAGAAAGAGGAAATTCGAAAGCCAAGTTTGTCGTGTACGTACGATATTAAACTGTTGTCGTGTCGAAAGAAAAAATCATAATAATCCGAAGGGTTAGGGACGCTTTGCGAATATTTGTTGTTAGTTACTAAAAATAACGCGTGTTTTGTAAACGCGTTCACTTGGAAGGTAGGTCCAATCGAGGCGTAAAAAATAAACTTTGTATTTTTTTCCAGCAGTGCCGCTCTACGAGAAAAGTCAGATATATCGATCCTCAAAACCGGACAGAGACGATCCCACGGGGGATGAAGGTGACAGCGACGGAGAGGTCAAACCGTATTTGCCCATGTATCGCGTGTACAAGTTCAAATCGTCCCGAAAAGAAGGGTAAATAGATACATCGTTGGCTATATAATCACGGAAGAGCCTCGCTTAATTATCGTTCATTGTATCGTTCGAAATTGATGTTCGTCAGCGATGTCTGTAATGGGTCGACGAAATGGATTGAAATTGTTGAAAACGCAAGAGGATATATATATATTGTTGCTTCAGAAAAAAAGTTTTATACATTTACGCGCGCATGAATCGCGTGCAATTTCGCGTTCTATCGACCGACCAGATGCCTTCAGATTTTACATTTGGTTTCTTATTTTCTTACGCTGAAAAATGAAAGTATTATTAAAACGAAAGAAACACTAAGGGCGAGATATTAAAATTCGTTGGGACCAACCCGTGCAGCTAATTAAATTCCATAATTACGCGAGCGACTTGCGAGGAAAGTTATTCTGTAATAATTGTTCGGACCGTGTAATCTCCAATACCATCGGAACGAAGTTTGTGAAACACGTAACAGCATGTACTGCTTTAATATTCAATAAAAATGTTCTCCACTGCTTCGCCTTGAATTACGGTCCATCTTGTTCCTATCCATTCCCGATCGAGTTGCAATAGTAAACTCGAGAAGGTTATTTTTAGAACCCACAGGACAGCACTGATACATTTATGAAAAATTTTAATTCTCAAACAACAACAGAATGCACTTAATATGCAAAAATATAAGAAATACTTAAAGACAACCCTCTAGAAAGCTCCCATTTTATTAATTCTATCAATAAAAACATGAATTTGCATGAAGATCCGCAGTCTAGTCATAATAAACGACTATTCTTTCCTTTCGCGATGGACAAACTCACGAGCAGGAGGATCGATGGAAGTTTATATTTCGAGTTTTTCCCTGATTCAACAGCGTGTACGAAGAACAGGACGTACGAAAGTTCGGGAAGATTGAACGGTGGGTTTCAGGGATCGCGCAATTTACATCGATCATTAAAGCACCGGCAGCTTGCCGTTTCGTAATCTTCTCGACGTATGTAGGACCGAAACGATCTCGTTCGCGTCGCACGCTTGAATTAATGACGTCGTTAATGCACGATTCAACAATAATGCGCATCGATCGTCGTGAAAACGCTATTACAGGGAGTGGTGGTCGGGGCAGGTGCCAAGAAATCGCTATGCAAGCCCCGATGAGTGAAAAATGCTAAGAAAAAAATTACATCCGGGCATTATCGCGAGCCGTGCTCCGAATTGCACGATCTTAATAGCGAATGTAACGACTCGTCGTACAACAATGTACAGCTTTTAGATCGCTAGCAGCTTCGTTCGTGATCGTTAACTTAAAAATTTTATTTTCTCCTCTACGAATTTTCGTGGAGTGCTGGTTCTTAAATTTACTCCGTACGCCTTCGCGAGGGACTCGGAGAATATTCCCAAGCATTTGGAACAATGGGGAGGGGTCCAACTCTCGAAACTTGAAATTTCTACCGCCACAAATTATGCAGCGTAGATTCGTATCGCTCGCGCTCGCGCGATCTAAATTAACGAAAATTTGAAAGGAAGAGTAGTCAGTTTGCAAGGAGCTTCAATTTTCGAGGAACTCGCGTCCCTTGGTCGTGGTACAAGCCAGCAACGTTTAATCACTAGGAAATTAGGATAACCTCGTGCTGCTGGGTCGTGGTTAAGCCGAACCTCGGGACCCAGCCAGCTATGATGTGGTCTTTCAAAGTAGATGTACACGCGGTGGGCGAGGAAGACGCAGGCCCCGGCTAAGGATAACCGAGAAAGACAGAAACATTTGCTAGACGACGCCCGTAATCAAAGACCCACCATTGCGATATCGAAAGCCCTCAAAGTTGAAGCTACACCAGCAGCTTCGTCATCACCTCCTGGCAACCTCAAAATCAAGAAGCTGATGGGGGTTACACACCCTGTCGAATCTCGTGCACCGTAAAGCGGCTGCATGATATTAAGTTTCGCGTAATGCATTCCGATACCGCGAAGCCCAGCTCGTATATTCCGATATGTGTAACCTTACGCTTTCGTGTTCATCAACAACTGTACGATTGCACGAATAATACGTACGGCTGTTACGAACTTTCTACGTTAATATTTTCTAATACAGGCATTTAAATAAAATGCTCAGTTTAAGCATATAAGATAATACAGGTGCCCTAATATGGAATACTTGTTTTTCACTTGCTTGCAGAACTTTTATAATAACTTAAATATTATGATTTTATAGAACAATTTATGCTCTTTTGACTGGTTATTTTTTTTCTGAAATTCTTATTTTCCATATTAGGCTCATATCGATATATCGAATGTACACTTTGATATTGATGTTTTTCATATTCACTTTCTAATAAATTAAAGAAAGCATCAACACTTTCTTTGTTGAATCCTCTAATTCGAGCAACAAGGTTTCCTTGTGCACTTCTCAGCGATAGTTGGGAATTTCTACGTAAAAAACGTTTAAACCATTTCCTACCCGTACATTAATTTCTATCGTTAAATGAATTTTTTATCTTATTTGCCAATGCATTCGTCTTGCATTCATCGCCAATAGATGGCAAAATCGGGATTCTTTAATATTGCTGTGTTCCAAATTAGGAACGTATTCCATATTAGGGAAACTGACTCAATGAAATAAAATATACGAGCTTTATCGTGGAATCAAGTCCGTATCTGTAATTTCGAAATGTCCTAGCATACGTGGCGCGAAGTTTGGTAAACTGAACAGCCAAATACAAGCAAACAAATCGCAGGTTATTCGACTCGGGTATCGCAATTAGTGTTCTGTTCGCACGAACGAAGAGACGAAAGCAGTTCGTACAGCGGCAAATCGATCTTTGCCGAGGTCAGAGCACGCCTCGATATACCCTTACGTTGAAATCACGGCGTCAGAGCGTGCACCTAATTAAAAGTTCGTACTACTTCTCTGGAACCCGGTGGCACGGCGTTACCACCATCGGCTGTCGCGTAAGAACGAATTTCTCGAAAGAACAGTCGCTGGCTTCGCACTTGGAATTTCTCTAGCTAGAAAAATTCTTTCACAGAAAATTAGAACTCGTCCCAATCGTTACATTCCGACCGTATTCCTTAATTATTTCTTTTTCCCCCACGCGCTGCAACCAAGGAACAAATTTTTATTAGTAAAAGTATTCGTTTAACACTGGAACTACCGACAATTATAGTGTATTTGTTTGTACCAGAGAAATTCAAACGATAGATACTCGAAGAAATCGAACGACATTTTGTTCGTAATAGTACTACGCATCGTATGAACTAACATTCATCGTAATAATAATTATTTTATCGTATAATTAAATTAACAATTTATTGCAAGAGTCATTTTTTTGTATTTGGAGCCGTGAATCTTCGACAATTTTACATTTTTTAAGAAGGATTTTAGTTCATACGACGCGTAGTACTATTATGAACAAACAGGAAAAAAATGTTAGACTACACGCCGATCAGCGTCGTCGACATATGAAATAATATTTATTACTTCATCCGAAGTCGATAAAACGTAACGAAAAAAAATATTCCTATCTTGAAAGGTTAAAGAATGTATGTGGAAAGTGGTGAAAAGTTTCATCAAATCTTTATACTGTAAAAAAATTGTCAAACATCGCTTCTCGTTTTGCCATTTTACCTCAAAAATATCAATTTTTTTTTTACTTCATTTTTGAAAGTATATATATTTAAGAATGTACTATTAAATTTTGAGAGATAAATGTCAAGTATTGTGGATTGTAGAACATTTTTTGTACTGCCCTCGCGGTAATTACCGGAATCATTGCTTCGAGTGATTACCATGTACAGCCCAGATATTACTGTTTCGAAAGGTTTACGACAGGGTCAAGAGATATCTGCTGTTATTAAAAGCTGAAAACGTTGAGAACGTTTTTGTCATCCAGGTGGCAATATTCTGGAAGGAATTCTATTTGGAACTGAGATTGATGAGTATGATCTTGCAGACTTTAAATACGTTTCTCTCGAAACGTTACTTTTTTAACTGGCGTAAATAAAATCTCAAAAACTATACGTTCGATTGCTTTGAAATTTTTACACGTTGTTCCACATACTAACAGTTCTCGCCCGTACCAAAATCAAATTGTTGTAATCAGTTTTATCATATCTTTTTTATTAAAAAGTTGCAAAAGAAACGACGAAATTTTGCAATTTTTACTTTAAGCTTTCACCATTTTGTCAATTTGCAACATAAATTAATTATTTTGGTACGGACGATAACTGTAAACCTACCGAATAAAAATCTTTTTGATTTTTTTGATTTAGTCAACCTTGAGTGCTGCAATCACCTACGCCAGTGTTTAAACACATGTTTACTGCGAACGTGATAACAACATTAAAAAATAATAAAAACATTATCTTGTATTCCCAAAGAATAACTAGGTAAACTGCAAAAAAGAATCATAACGTCAGATGTAACATTTCCTTAACAAAAATTAAGAAAAATGGTTCAATTTTCTATCATTCACATGAGACTCCCCCTTAAAGCAGGAAATAAGAGTGGAAACAAGAGTATGGGAAACGTATCGATCGCGTTAAGGTGGAAACGGTTATTTAGAGCTCTACGTTTTCGATTTGGCGTCAGAGCGTATCGGGGGCGGAATAATGCGAAGAACGTAACGAAGCAATTGGCCGCGAAACGCTGGAATCGTACTCTTTTGAAAAATTGAAGGGTAATACTATATGAGGTAACAGCCAATACATTCGCCCGGCCTTTCGCTCTTTTCTTCGTTCACGTGGACTCCGAAAATCGGGTTTGCAATACAATGAGGGCTTTCACGGTAGCGTGCAATGTTGGCACTTGCCAACCGGATGATAAAGTTTCCTCTGAATTTCCCGCAGTGCCCCTGGCAGGAGACGAGTTTACGTGGATTTGCTCCAATCAGAGTTTGTTACGTGCACACGCGGCACATAGTTACCAATGAAAACACCGACGACGATGACATTTTTCGTGATATAGGTACTTGATGCCAATACTCTGCCGGAAACTTGTCTTTTTGCACCACGTTCGATTCAATTTCGAATTCTCCAGTCCTTCGGAACGCGCCCGACTCCATAAAGTGTTTGCGCCACGATTCGAGCGTTAAATGTTACCTTCGATTTTGTTCGCTGATTCGTTGTTGTACGGACAGATTTCGCATACAAAAAACTAAATAAAGCGAAGAGAAAATACGCGTGTATACATGAACGGGAGTGGATCAAAGTAGATTAAATAGTTGAAATATTTTATCGAACGTA